TTTTTTTGTATTTTTTAGTAGAGACAGGGTTTCACCGGTTTAGCCAGAATGGTCTCGATCTCCTGACCTCGTGATCTGCCCGTCTCGGCCTCCCAAAGTGCTGGGATTACAGGCTTGAGCCACCGCGTCCGGCGGAAACTTCTTGTTATTGTCTTGTCACCCTTAGTAGCAGGCACATACTTAGGAAAGTCAGATTTCCTGTGTATGAGACATACTAGAGTGGGCCAAGGGAAGAAAATCCTATGCAGAGCAATGAGCAAGTAGCAGTGGGCAGGGAGCAGTGGAGTCGTTAGGGAAAATAACAGAGCTAATGGCCTGGCAGGGTTCCTCACACCCAGAGCTCTACCACCATGTGAGGCTAACACTACAAGCCCACACCCATCATCACATGGTACGGAGCAGTTTCTTGACCCTGTGTGAGAGCAGAGAAGACACCTATGATGGTGAAAACAAGGCACTGATGCAGGGATTTTAGTATCAGGAAATGAGATGAAGTCAAAGGGATTTGTACATAGAAACTGCAGCTGAATTTGAATTAAAGTAAACCACCAAATGCTTACTTTGTGCTTCATTCAATTGTAGCAACTAAACATCACCTGTGAGTAATTCAAACCAGAAAGTGAAGTCTAAGATGTCATATTGGTGTTGGACTATATATATATATATATATATATATGGTCCTATATGTATATATATGTTTAAATTCTGTAGCACTGCCAAGTCTAAATTCAAATCACTACCCCGGAATGGAGCTATCAATGAACTGTGAGACAGAAATCAATCAATATAGATATAAGGATATATGGGCATAGGAGGAAACAATTATATACCATTTATATAAACCTATATGGATTCATATGAAATCAAGGGTGCACCCACAGGTACTGCAGAGAAATATAAAGGTTGAGATTAGGGAAGATTCAAGGGCATTAATGGAAAAACAAAAAACTTTTACACGTGTCTACATGATCTCACTATAGGATACGAAGGTGCCTTTATGCCTTCTTGAATGAATTTAGATAAAAGATGACCACATAATAAGAAGGATGATTTTTCTTACTAGTCTGTTTGATACTCTGAGTAACAATCAAAAATAATTTTCAGACTGCCTATATGTGAGACCTCACTACGATGGCTGAGGACAGCAGAGAATCCTCTTTGGAAACAGAAAAGGATAACAGGGGACAGAGAGTAGTGAAGACCTCCGAAGAAGAGAAAAAAGCTAACAACCCTAGAAATGTTTTTGAGCCTGCAGAACTCTGCCACAATCCAGGGTGATACTCCAAACCCCAAACACCATCATATTGGATTGTGTCCTTGACTCAGACCTGCAGTTACTTTACCCTACTTGTGGACCAAGACAGACGATCAAGTAAAGAAGTAATGGAGAGCCTTTGAGGCAGCATATTTAGTGGAATAAGAGGGCCGACTACCTCCACACAAAAGTTTAGTTTGAAATAACTGTCACCACAAAGGCTGCCACACATTGGGACTGAGGTCATAACAAAGAGGTTTATTTAAATCTGGAAGCATTACTATTTTCCACAGCCTAAGATGTTGGTTGCCATCGTATAAATTCTCCTTTCTAATAAAAAATGACATTTCAGAACCAAATAGTGCTATACACATGAATAGTCAGAACTTAACTGGTTTGTGGAAAGAGTAATGAAAGCGAGTTTTATCAGAAAAGTGAATTTCGAGTTGTGTCTCCTGTCTGTGTTCTTTTATCATCCTCCAGTCCACCCACAAATGAATTATCAGGCACGAACCCGGAGGCATGTATCCATGAAAGGTGAGTTATGCATACGTGTGTCTTTATTTATGTAATTATAAGTGAGCATAGAAGTTTTCACACACACAGGCACATAAACAAATATATCCATCCATCCATCCATGCGTCCATCCATACACACTTCTCTCAGCACACATCCACTAGCAACCCATGCACACAATGGAAACATACAACAAGGAGACAGGTGGACGGACATTTGTGGAGTTTATTCTGAGAAGCCTGCATGGCCATAGAGAGTGGTTTTTAACAGGGTTTCGAATTCTTCTCATCATAGCCTTTGTAGGTAACATTGCATCCTTTTCTAATGGAGTCATATAGAAAGGAGCAGGTCACAGGAGAGCTGCTGCTTCCTGTTAATGTATTTGTCACCCTTAGTTCCTAGTAAGCAGCTTCTTATAGGACTCAGATTTCCTGAGTTTGAGAGCCTGTGAGATTGACAGAAGGGAGGAGAAAATCCTGTCTGCAACATGGAGGAGATAGCAGCTGACAAGGAGCAGTGAAGCCCTGGGAAGAAAAGAATGGAGCCAATGGAGCATGGACTTGTCCCTCACACTCCAGAGCTCTGTCAACATATGAGGTTGGTGCTTCAACACAAACGCAAGCATAGCACCTCATTGGATGCAGCCCTTCCTTAGGCCCACAGCTACTTGCCTGTGTCTCCTGGACAGGAAAGACTAGCACGATGGGTGAAAGGAAAGAGGTGACAGAGAGATCCAGGCAGTGGGCCATAGATGGGATTAGAGGGAGGAATGCCTACACAGTGGAGTTGAATTTAAAAGAAATTCACCCACAAATGGTTGTCGTGCATTGGCCAGCTCCAGTGGTAGCGAGTTTTGGTGAACTCTTGAGTCAGTGAGTCTCAGATAGGTGTAAAGGATGTGCTGCAATCATATAAAGTATGATGTGTAGGGTAAATGGCATGGCAGATTCCAAAGAACCAAATACACACATGACTTCTGTAAGGGTAAGGCAGTTTACAGGTTGAAAGTAGTTGGTAGGTCAGGCGCGGTGGCTCAGGCCTGTAGTCCCAGCACTTTGGGAGGCCAGGGCGGGTGGATAATGAGATCAGGAGTTCAAGTCCAGTCTGGCCAACTTGGTGAAAGCCCATCTCTATTAAAAATACAAAATGAGCCTGGCATGGTGGCGGCACCAGTAGTCCCTGCTACTCGGGAGGCTGAGGCAGGAGAATTGCTTGAGCCTGGGAGGCAGAGGCTGCAGTGAGCCAAGATCGTGGCACTGTACTCTGGCTTGGGTGACAGAGCAAGACTCTGTCACAAAAAACAAACAATAACAACAACAAAACAAAAAACAAACAAAACAAAACAATTGGAACTATTTTGAACTGAAAACGTTAAGTTTAGGAAGTTACATGTTGTCTTAGTATGTACATTTTAAGTTATTTGGTACTGCCCTAGGTGTGAATTGGGAGTATCTTCTAGTAGGCTGGCCAGTGCAACATGTGATATAAAGGAATACAGTTATACATGTATCTATGCATATACAAACACATACATACATGCATTCATACAAGAGAGATTGAGTTGGGCTATTGACTGTCACAAGCATCCATGGGAACAAGGAGTTCCCTGGAAACTATTTCTAGAGTCCTCTCAGAATGAGCTTTGTATGGAATATTCTTTTGTTTTTTTGGATTGAGATAGGAAAATGGGGAGGAATTCATAGAGGGAGGTTTTTATGTTAGTGTTTGTCACATTTCCTTTCTGTGAGAATGAGACTGTACTAGTAGTGTGGACGAAGGGAAAAGTGAATCCTGCTTGGAGCGAGAAGGAGATAAGAGTGGATAAAGCTCAGAGAAATCCCTGTGAAGAAAAAGAGCAGAGCTAAAAACCCTGGAATTATTTCACACCCTCCTGAGCTCTGCCTTTATGTGAGGCTGACTGCCTTGGCCCATACCCACCCTCACATGGGATGGAGCCCTTGCTTGAGGCCTGTAGCTACTTGGCCACAACTCTTGGTCAGGAAAGACTATTAGGATGGGTGAAAGGTGAGGAGGTGATTGGAAGTGATAGGGAATGAGAAACGTAGATGGGATTATAAGAAGGGGAACTTACAAACTTAATTTGAACTGGAATTAAATGCTCTCCAAAAATGCTGTTACACATCGAGGTGTAGATGCCCTTACTTAATCTGGATGCATCGCTATGTTCACAGCCTAAGATACTCACTGTTGGCATATAAAACCTCATTTCTAATAAAAAGCAAATGCCATCCTAGGTCAATTTAGTGATGTACATACATGTGAATAATTACAGTGTAACTGAGGAATAACGCATAGAATAACTGGCTATTTGTTGCAAAACCTTGGAATTACGCATTGTGTCTGACTCTGACCATATTTGTCCTCTACAGTCCCAATTCAAATGCCTTGGAAGGAGTCACCATTGAGAGAAGCCCCAATGACCAGTGAGTTATAAAAAATGTACACATGGCCAGGTGCAGTGGTTCACACCTATAATCTGAGCACTTTGGGAGGCCAAGGCAGGCAGATACCCTGAGGTCAGGAGTTCAAGACCAGGCTGGCAAACATAGTGAAACCCTGTCTCTACTAAAATTGCAACAACTAGCCAGCTGTGGTGGCAGGCGCCTCTAATCCCAGCTGCTCGGGAGGCTGAGGCAGGAGAATCGCTTGAACATGGGAAGGTGCACGTTCCAGTGAGCTGAGACCATGCCACTGCATTCCACTCTGGGCAGCAGGAGCAAAACTTTGTCACAAAAAAAAATGTACACACACACACACACACACACACACACACACACAAAACAGTGACAGAGAAAGAGACTGAGATTAGTGGGACTCACTGTCAGAAGTGCTCACAATAATAGAGAATGTCTTTGACACAGTTTCTTTATCATCTCACTGTATCATATATACATAACTTCCACATTTTTACAGTTGTTTAGGAAAAAAGAAACATTATAGAGAGAGGCTTCTGTCTGTTACTGTCTTTTCACCATTTGTTAGTAGCAGTCAAATGCCTTGGAAACTCTGATTTTCGGTGTGTGAGACATGCCAGAGTGGGCCAAGGGAAGAGAGAATCCTGTTTGGAGCAAGGAGGAGGTAGGAGTGCTCAGGGCACTGTGAAGCCCTCAGCAGAAAGCAACAGAGCTAAGAGCCTTGGAGTTGTTCTCCACCCTCCAGAACTCTGCCACCACGGAGGCTGGAGCTCCAAACCTCAAATCACCATCCTATTTGGATTGCGCTCCTGTGTCAGACCTCTAATTACCTGACCCTTTTTGTGGGACTAGAGAAACCATCATGCTGGGTGAAGGTAAGGAGCTAATGGACGGCCTTTGAAGCAGAACATTGAATGGAATAAGAGGGCTGACTACCTACAAACTGAGTTGAGTTTGAAATTACTGTCACCACAAAGTCTGTCACACATTGGGACTGAGGTCATAATAAAGGGGTTTACTTAAGTTGCGAAGCATTACTATTTTCCCCAGGCTATGATTTTGGTTGTTGTCATATAAATCCTCATTTCTAATAAAGAAAAAAGACATTCCATGTTCCAATAGTGCTATACACATGAATAGTCAGAAATTAATTGCTTTCTGTCTAGAGTAATGAAAGGTATTTTTTCCAAAATATAACTTCAGAATTATGCCTCCTATCTGACTGTATTCTTTTATCATCTGCTAGTCCACAGACAAATGAATTTAAAGGAGCAACCGAGGAGACACTTACGAATGATATGTAAGTAGTAAATGGTTAAATAAAGATATCCATCAGCATAAGTGTGTATAGAACTATAAACACACACAGGCACATGAGCAAATATATCCATCCATCCATCCATCCATCCATCCATCCATCCACACTTCTCTTCAACACACGTACACAAATTAATCCATGCACATGGTGGAAACTTAGAACAAGGAGAAAAGAGATGGACATTTGTGGAACTTATTCTCAGGAGCCTGTCTGGGCATATAGATTTTTTTTTTTTAATGGAGTTTCCAATTCTTCTCATTGTAGCATTTGCTAGTAACTTTGCATCTTTCTTTGGTGGAGTTGTATAAAGAGGAGCAGGTCATAGGAGAGTTGCTTCCTCCTGTTAGTGTATTTGTCACCCTTAGTTTTTTTATGGGACTCAGATTTCCTGACAGAAATTAATTGGTTTCTATCTAGAGTAATAAAAGCTAATTTTTCCAAAAAAGTGAATTTAGAATCGTGTCTCCTAGCTGACTGTATTCTTTTATCATCCTCTAGCCCACACAGCAGTGAATGTAAAGGAGCAGCCCTGGTGTCACCTATCAGTAAAAGGTGAGTTATAAATCCATAAAGACACATGTATGCATAAGTGTGCATAGAGCTATACACACACACACGCACATACACAAATAGATCCATCTATCTCCATCCGTACTCACTTCTGTCAACACATTTACACAAACAAACCCATGCGCACAATGGAAACACAAAACATGGAGACAGATGGACATTTGTGGAATTGACTCTCCGGAGCCTGCGTGGCCATACGGAGTGTTTTTAACAGGGTTTCCAGTTCTTCTCACTGTAGCATTTGTAGGTAACCGCATCCTTTTTTGATGGAGTTGTATGAGGAAGTCAGTTCACAGGAGAGCCCCTTCTTCCTGTTAGTGTATTTGTCACCCTCAATTTCTGGTGGGCAATTTTTTAAGGGATTTGGGTTTCCTGAGTTTGAGACCCTGCCATAGTGTGCCAAGAAAGGAGAGAATCCTATTTGCAACATGGAGGAGATGGCGGCCAATAAGGAGTAGTGAAGCCCTGGGAAAAAAAGAATGGAGCTAATGGAATGTGGACTTGTCCCACACCCTCAAGAGCTCTATCCACGTGTGAGGTTGGTGCCCAGACCCAACTCAAACCCACCACCTCGCTGGATGCCGCTTTCCTTAGGTGCACAGGTACTTCACTGTGTTTCATGGGCAGGAAAGACAAGCATGATCAATGAAGGGAAGGAGGTGATGAAGGGTTTTCCCAGTCATGTGAAAACCTCTCCTGGAAATAAATCATAAAGGTGTAAGTAATATGGAAAACCTGATTCAAGTTAATTATAGTGTAATGCTCAAGAAAATTTGCAAAAATGAATGAGATTTTACAGAAGGAATAAAAGGATTGTGTTTAATCAGTGGCTGATTAAGGAAACATCTAGGTGAGAATTCTGTAGTTGCTCATGAAGCAATAGTATGTGAGTTTTGTGTGTAGTATTGATTTTTAAGCCAATAAGTAAATCTTTAAAAGAATTTATTTTATAGGACATTGGAGGCATGGGCAAATTAAAATGTATTTCTATTATTATTATTATTATTTTTTGAGATGAAGTCTCACTGTTGTCCAAGCTGGAGCGCAGTGGCGCGATCTCGTCTCATTGCAACCTCCACTTCCCAGGTTCAAGTGATTCTCCTGCCTCAGCCTCCTGAGTAGCTGGGACTGCAGTCACGTGCCACCATGTCTGACTAATTTTTTGTATTATTCGTAGGAGCAGGGTTTCACTATATTGGCCAGGCTGGTCTTGAACTCCTGACCTCATGATCTGCCCGCCTCGGCCTCCCAAAGTGCTGGGATTACAGTCATGAGCCACCGCACCTGGCTAAAATGTATTTCTAATATGTACATAGGTTTAATTTATATATAGTTTAATCTCTGATGAATTGACCATTGATAAATGAGTCTTTGTTAATTGTTGGACTTTACTTACTGGGCTTATGTGGTAGTATTTGCATACCCTCACTTATTATATATGTACGTACTTCATATTTATAGAAAATCTTCTTTTGGTACAAAAAATGTATTTGCTAATAGTGTCAAAAAAGAGAAATTCACTATATGTCTATGTACCTTTTTGCTCCATCAGCACTGCCTTCAGTGAAATGACAACAGGTAACACATGAAGGGACTGTCAACAAAATTTGAGGTTTAAGTAAATAAAAAGCTAGATGTAAACATATATATGTAAATACACACATAGACACACACAAAAGCATACATGTAGAAAAGGGAGATTCAGATTTGGGAAGTTCATTGTCTGGAGTATCCATAACAATACAGAGTGTTTTAGATACTGTTTTCTAAAGTCTTATTACTGTAGTATCTGTAGTTACCTTTCTTTCTTTGATCTAGTTGGATAAAAGAGGAATAGGTCTTAAGAGGAATGCTTCTTATTCCTATTCCATTGGTCACCCTTTTATTTAGCAGCACCCTGAAACCTTAGGAAAATATGAGAATGTGTATATTGTATGACACTCTACTAGAGTGAGCCAAAAGAGGCAACAGTCCTATTTGCAGCAAGGAGGAGGTAACAGTGGGCAGAGAGCTGAGGAGCTCTCAACAGAAAAGAACAAAGCTAACAGACCCCTGGTCTCTCTGTCTGTTACCACAGGAGGCTACTGCCCCAAAGATAAACCCACCATCAGATTGTATGGAGGCCCTGCCTTAGGTCTGTAGTTACTTAGCCCTATCTGAGGGGCAGGAAAGACAACCATGATTGGTGAAGAGTTACTGGTGGTATTTGAATGTGAAAAGGCAGAAAATTACAAGGACAAGCAAGGTGGGTATTTACAAACTGAAGTTGAATTTATGCCACTTTTCTCCATCAATATCGAGAATAAAATTGGACTTGTACCTGTGAAAGATAAGAAATGCAACCTGCCTTTACTTCTATCTTCTTCCACACCTTGAATCCTAGTGTAAGAATGCCTAAAAATTCAAATCAATACTATTATTCATGATTTTATATGATTTATCTTTACTTTTAGAATCATTTATTTACATTTTCACCTGCTACATTTTTATGCTACATTAACAATTATTATTTAGACTTACCTAATTCTGAGTTTATATTATGTACCATCTTTTCTCAGTAAGTCATCTTCCTTATTTCTATGTTCTTCATTTTGATTCATTGCTCAGCTGACTCAAGCCCTTTGAGTAATTGTTTTAGGAAAGGTACATGGAGGCTATGCTTCGAGTTGCTGCACGTTGGAGTGTCTGTCTATTGCTCCCGAGTGTGAAAAGTACTTTTCCTGGATGTGGATTTATTGAGTCATAGTTATTTCCCTGCAAACTCTACACATAACTGCTTGAAACTGCATTTACATAGCACACTTTTTTTTAACCAAAAACATCTCAATTGTATATTTATTTGGTATAGTTTCAGTGGACACTGAAACAGATTAAGGGGCTAAAGCCACCCAAGCCACTCCTTCATGCCTTCGTAATCTGTCAGGCTTGGTTCTGTATGGTGACATTGTCAAGTGAGTTCAGATTTATATTTCCTTGATACCCACATATCCAGTAGACTGCGTGGGATCAGAGGGTCTTGTAGTAAGAGAATGGCAACTTGAGGAGAGAATTCACCTCTTTTGGCCAATTGATCCTCCATCTACATCAGCCTTAATTCTCCAAGCCTGGGCAGAGGTGGTGGGTCCAGGTGGAGAGGGGAAAATTAGAAGAATTGGGGATTTCCTTTATCACAGGTTAACCTAACATCATTCAGCAAAGGCCGATTTTTTTTTTTAACTTTTATTTTAGGTTTGGAGGTACATGAGAGGTTTGTTACATAAGTAAACATATGTCAGGGAGGTTTTTTTTTTTTCACATATTATTTCATCATCCAGGTATTAAGCTCAGTACCCAAATAGTTACCTTCTCTGCTCCTCTCTCTCCTCCTACCCTCCCCACTTAAGCAGACCTCAGTGTCTATTTCTTTCTTTGTGTTCATAAGTCCTTATGATTTAGCTACCACTGATAGGTGACGACATTCAGTATTTGGTTTTCTGTTTCTGCACTAGTTTGCTAAGGATAATAGCCTCCAGCTCCATCCATGTTCCCACAAAAGACATGACCTCATTCTTTTATTATGGCTGCATAGTATTCCATGGTATATATGTACCACATTTTCTTTATCCAGTCTGTCATTGATGGTTACCTAGGTTGATTCCATGTTTTTGCTATTGTAAATAGTGCTGCAGTGAACATTCATATGCATGTATCTTTATAGTAGAATGATTTATATTCCTCTGGGTATATGCTCAGTAATGGGATTGCTCAGTCAAATAGTAGTTCTGCTTTTAGCTCTTCAAGGTATTGCCATACTGCTTTTTATGATGGTTGAACTAATTTACACTCCCACCAACAATGTATAAGTGTTCCCTTTTCTCTGTAACCTTGCCAGCATCTGTTATTTTCTGACTCTTTAGTAATAGCCATTCTGACTGGTGTGAAATGGTATCTCATTGTGGTTTCAATGTGCATTTCTCTAATCTGTGATATTGAGCTTTTCTTCATATGCTTGTTGGCCACATGTATGTCTTCTTTTGAGAAACGTCTGTTCATGTCAAAGGCCAATTTTGGCAGTGCCCCAGTTCTGCTCAGTATCTGCCCTCTTTGTTCTCCAGTCTTAGGCACAGGCTGTGAGCATTGTCTTAGGATTCATGGCTCTCGGGGTGGAACTTAAGTCTTGTGTTGGAGGCTTCAGTATGACAGAAACTTTCTGAAGACTTCTCCTACTGAAGCCTCCTGTGTTGGAGGCTTCTCCTTCTAAAGAGCCTTCAACACACGAGGCTTCAGTAGGACAAAACAATTGTTCCTCATCAGCTACCTTGTCTCCAGCCACAAGGTAAAATGAGGCATTATTGGAGGCTCCATCAAACAGGTTCTCCTTCCTTTGATTAATGGAAGGAGCCCAGTCTTTCGGGTGTTTCTCCTTTGAAGTATATCTTACTAAAATGTCTTACCTCTGAAGTTCATTTGCAACCTCAAATGTGTGTCTGTTTACTAGGTGTCTAGTTTGAAGAGATGACAAGAGTATCATTTACTCCCTATGCTCATTCCTGAAATACCTTATTTTATTGTGGTGGAAACTGAGATCTGGCCAAAGTTTGATGACTTGCCCAGGCTGGCACTAAAATACAGTTCTCTTCTACCACCCTTTTCTGTCTTCATGCTATACTCCCTGAGTAGATGACCACAAGTTTAAGTTTAGTATTGCCATAAAGTTGGGGTTGGGGCTTTGCATGCAATGGAAATGTTACTAAACATCCAAAGTTTACTGTCTTATTCGCATATATTCTGGATAGCAAAGTAAAATAGTCATGGAGCAGAAAGAATAAAATTTTAGCTATTAGTAAAAAGCATTTTGTTATACAACTTCTGAATAATTTTCTTTTAAAATTGTATTTATAAAGGCCTTTGTTTTTTGGTTAAATTTACCATATATGTTAGAAGAAATCTGATTAATTTTATTTTTACTTCTTTTTGCAGCAGCAAGATTAAGAAAATTGTGCATTCAATTGTATCATCCTTTGCATTTGGGTATGTGGGACATAGAAAACACCATGTGTTAAATATATTTGAGACTTGGCTTGGCGTGGTGGCTCACGCCTGTAATCCCAGCACTCTGGGAGGCTGAGGCGGGCAGATCACCTGAAGTCAGGAGTTTAAGACCAGCCTGGCTAACATGGTGAAACCCCATCTCTACTAAAAATACAATAATTAACTGAGCATAATGGCGGGTGCCTGTAATCCCAGCTACTCAGGAGGCTGAGGCAGAAGAATCGCTTGAACCTAGAAGGCACAGGTTGCAGTGAGCTGAAATTGCACCATTGCACTGCAGGCTGGGCAACAGAGCAATACTCCATCTTAAAATATATATATATATATATGACTTAATACTTCAATGAGAAAGACTGAAATAAAAAAACAAAAAAGCATTTCCACCTTCCATCAGTTGCTAAGTAGCCGTGTGCCCCTTCTAATGTAATCTAATTTATCATGGAATTCTGGTTTAAGCTGGACATTAAGACTTGCAAATAAATGGCTTTTGCCTAAGATTAATAGTAACATATTAATATTGTTTTTCTTCCATCTGCAAAAGTAACATTAATGAAAATTAAATGTTAAAATTCTATAAGTTAAATGTTTTATTAAGTACCGTATACATCTAGACTTACTCTTTAATTCTGGAAATAATTTACTTAGACTCTTCTCTACATAAGAGTGAGATTTCATACTATGATATAGATTTATGCAATATAACTGTTTCCTTTTGAATTAATACTATTTTAATTTGAGCTGCAAGTTTTTAAAAAAGTACTTCGAAGACTAATTCATCTTCATGGATTAGGCAAATAGTCTAATCAATTTATGGAGAATGTATTTAGAATATGTAACAGCAAGGCTGGGCG